TGGTATTATTTGGTCTTCTTACCTCACTCAAAGAAGTGAGTCCACTTATGTACATTTTTAGGCAAAGCACAAGAATCCTTAGCAGCTCTCTCTCTTTTACTTCATTTGTCATTTAAAAAATGAAATAAAAAATAATAATTCACTGCAGAGGATGGCGATGATGATGATTTACATCTAAGGGAAAAATTCCTTTCATAGATTCTCTTAAACAGCCAGAAGAGGAGCAGCCAGCTCGGAGCAGCATTCACTTGGGAAATAAAAGCCAATTTCTAAAAAAGCTCTTTAACTGTGACCAGGCTTGCTGATGAAACAAAAGAGGAACTACAGACCAATGGCTTCTTCTCACAACATTTGTCTGTTTATGGGACCAGCACTGTATAATGAGCAGCTCTCTTTTTTAAAACCACAGGATGACCTAATGCATCAATACTTTAAATGTTATAAAAAGTATTTGCATAAAAGCGATCAGGAGAGCTATTGCCTGTAGAGGCTCCAGCCCTTATTGATGTTGCAAATGAGAGCACTGAAAATATCCTCGTGTGTTTCTGGGCAACCTTGGTAGGAAATGAAATGAATCTTTCTGCTTTTGCTTTTTCAGGGAAACATCTCTAGACAAATCTCTTCATTGACATCCAAAATACAGCTAATCGTTTTCTTCACGGACATACAAAATTATTTGTCCAACCAAAGGAAAGCAGAAAGATGAAAGGTAAAATGAGACAACTAAGCCTAGAACAAATGCACTGTGGAAAAGGAGGGGATGTACAGGATTTGAAATGGCTGGTATGACTCATCCTTAAAACATAAGCACAACATAAAATGCAATTGTTTTCTTAAAACTGGCCAAACAGACCTTAATTTAGATACAGGTAATCTTTGACTTACAACCATTTGTCTAGCAAATGTTCAAAGTTACACACTGAAAAAAGTGACTTACAACCACTATCACAGCATTCCCACAGTCACATGATCAAAACTTAGGCACTTGGCAACAGGCATGTATTTATGGCCATTGCAGCATATCCAGGATCCGGTGATCACCATTTGTGACTTCCTTAGCCAGCTTTTGACCAGCAAAGTCAATGGGGGAAGCGAGGTTCACTTAATGATCATGTAATTCACTTAAAAAGAAAAAGTGGTAAAATCAGGGACAATTCACTTAACAACCACCTTGCTTAGCAACGGAAATTCTGGTACCGATTATGGTTATAAGTCGATTGACAGAGCCATGTGGAATCCTAAACATAGAGAATGATGACCACTGATCATTCAGCAAACTGGTGTTCTGATGCTAGGATGCAAATAAACCATTTACCCTTCTTCTGCAGTTGATGTACTTTGCCCTAATGGTCAGGACATTATCAGCATGCAAAAATGGTAATTTGCATGCCAGGGTAAGGTGAGTAAATGGTTCCATTCACTCTTTTGACCCGGGCAGGATCCATAACTGGGAAAAGCCATGAAAAAACACAGAACAAAAAGAACTCAGGTTTCAGTTCATTGCAAGAGTGAAGTCCGGGATATTAAATGGTAGGTGCGTTGCACAGGTGATGGAGTTTGCCAAAGAAGAAATTCTGGATGCTTCTTTTGGCAAAGATTTATATGGACATGGCTAGATTATATACCATGAGGTCTAAAAATTGTGAGATAGAGGAAAATAAACTCAAAAGACGAGTTGCCATTTGGAATACCAAATCACATTTCTTCATTGCATTTAGCACCAAATGTAAATATTTTGGGGAACCTTTCCTCAGATGCAAAATATAATTCTTCACAAATGAATTAGCTACAACAGTGTGTCTCTAATAGGTCCAGAAGAAATTATAGGACTAACTATTTTCAAATTCCTTCCTTAATCTTGTTAATATAACGTTTTTTTATTATTTATTCATATTTATTATTTTTAAGGCAGCGAACCTCAAGGCAACGAACATATCCAACACACCTTCCTCCTCAAATTTTCTCCACAAAAACAACCCTGTGAGGTGGGTTGGACTGAGGGAGAATGACTGACCCAAAGTCACTCAGTTGGCTTTCATGGCTAAGACAGGACTTGAACTCATGCTGTCCTGTTTTCTAGCCTGATGCCTTAACCACTAGACCAAACTGGCCCTGTTAAGTGATTGCACCTACACAGCTACAACCCATGCATATCTTCACCAACCCCTTCATCAATATTTAACTGAGACATTATTCATTCCTGCTAGGCCTTTTTACCTGCTGAAAATTCTGCAAGCATCTTTGAAAACTAGACAAACCGAAAAGCAAGCAATGGCTTCTCAACAGACATGGAACCACATCCCCCATTAGCCTGAAATGATTACAGTACATCCCTAGATTACCTCATACGGCACGGTTTATCTAGACCTGGTTACTTGGAAGTTCCAAGGTAGGACCTATTCGAGATTACCTGGAAGTTTCATCAATTTCAAAGGTTACTCCCATTGCAGAGAATTGCAATTTAAGGATTATTTTTTATGGCTTCCTATTTATCAAAGTCACTTCCTTCTGTAACAGGCATGTGTCAAATATTACCTGAAATGACGAACTGCAATCACGAATGGACAACCTTTAGGGCAATTAGCTCTCTGAGTTCAAGGTAAACAAGAAAAATTTATCACTTGTATATTTACAAGGAAAAAGAAAACCTAAGGGAGATGAGTTAGAAGCATAGTTGCTAAATAAACCACATCATCCTTGGATGTTGGTAGAGCTGTTGCTTGGCAGCTTTTGAATATAATTTACATCAATACACACACTTCCATGACTAAGGTCATGAGTCACTGTGTTGTGCTGGTTCACTTTCTTTCTCCAAGGTTGGTTCCAGTCAGTGGGGATTGGGAAGGAGAGAGCCCACCCCTGGCTTCTACTATGTGGGATACTATAAGGACCGGTGCTCTCTTTGCTCCTATTAAGCACCTAGATGAGACTATGAATGAACTCAGTCGTTGCCACAGCGTGAGGTATCATCTCCCCAATTACATCCGTTTGTCCCTTCAAATTGGGCAAGAGAGTCGTGCTGTAGGTCTCGTCTCTCAGGGAATTATACTTGGCAAGCCCAAGGAAGCCTTCATTCTTTTGGTGTCTACCTTGTGTACATTTCCCTCCCCCTCCCCAAAGTGAGGTCAGCTCCATTCCTCCTTATTTTATGGAAGTCCCTCAAAACGTGGCTTTGGCATTAGGGCTGGGGATCTCAGGGGACAATGAGGTGGCTCCATTGCTGATCAAATCTTGTGTGTGTTTGTATGTTTGTATGTGTACATGTGCGTTTATATGACTGCATTTGACATGTTTATTGTTTTTATATCTTTTTTGCTCTACCCTGCTTAGAGCAGTGGTTCTCAACCTTTTTAATGCCGCGACCCCCAACCGGTTGTAAGTCGAGGATTACTCAACCAGTCGTAAGTAGAGGACTACTCAACTGGTGCAGCACCGTTTGCAGAATGGGACTTTTGGCGGGCTCAGCAGGGCAGAGACAGCCTGGACAAGTCCTATTGGCTTTTGAAAGCCAATAGAATTAGACTCTATTCAAGAGAGTCTATTCTATTGGCTTTCAAAAGCCAATAGAATAAAAGGGAGTAGCACAGCTAAGGAAAAGGGGAAAAAAATGGTGGACTGCGTTGTTTGGCGACCCCCGTGAAATGGTCATTTGACCCCAAATGGGGTCCCGACCCACAGGTTGAGAACCACTGGCCTAGAGTCACTTCTCATGAGATGGGCAGCCATATAAATTTGATAAATAAAAGTAATTTATTTATGACTAAAATAATAATAATGACTACAAACAACCATTGTGGCAAAAGAAAGCAAATACAATACCATTAATAATAGGCTTCCTGGTGCAATCCCAAAACTGGAGCACTACTTGAACATCCTTGGCATTGATAAAGTACCCATCAGTCAGTTGCAAAGGACAGTTTTGCCTGGAACAACTTACACATCCTGCGACAATGCCTTTAACACCATCAAACTACATCTGCCTATCTCAGCTCCTAGGAATGATCTAATACAGGGGTGTCAAACTTGCAACGTCAACTTGCAACATATTGTGACTTTTTTCCCATTGCCGGTAATGGGGTGGGCACAGTTTCGCCATGACGCATCTGGTCTGCGGGCCGGCAGTTGACACCCCTGATCTAATAGGTGGATAAAAATCCAAATTCATTTGGATGACTCTGTGACCAACAGCTGACTTAACTGATAGGAATACTTTAACCTATTATGAAACCCAAATAAAAACACGGTTACCATTCACTTGGAAAAAAGTTAACCAGTCTAGTTGGCCTTCCTTGTTTTAATATATTGTTTGAATCCAGACTTCCTGCTTGCTTCTGCTAAACAGAATAAACTTGTACACCAAGAACAATCCTGGATTACTATTCCAGCTTCTAAAGAGAGCAACAAGCTAATAATCTCATGTTTAGGTTAAACAAAACATGTTTAGTTTCTTTAGTTGTTTGTAGTACAAGCAGGAATGAGTAATCTTAGTCCCATTAGCATCCTGCTTGTTCACAATAAACCAGAATTTACATAGATTTGGGGTTTACCAATTGCTCTAGTTTTCTGGGTTTTATTTCCAATACTGGTTCACCATTTCAGTATTTGGAATGAATCTTTCTTAAAAATAGGCATTCTGTTCCTATTAAAGCAGCTTGTGGCAAAGCAAGAGAGGGAAGATCAAATTACAAATTTCCTTTCATCCTCTTTGATACAACAGAACGATTGCTGGAATATTACCAGGAGAAAATGAAAAAGCTCTTAGCGACAGTGGTGATTAATTACTAAGTTTGCAATCTGACCTTGCTTTCTTCAAGCTTGAGTCAAGTAATCTAATTAGCTATCATTTTCTCTTTTTTAAAAAAAGTTAAGCTACTATAATATATATTAGATTTAATGAACCAAAGAAGGAATACAATATTGCAATTACTACAATTTACTAATAAAATAGAGGTTTTAAGGTTCTTTTTTAAATTATGGAAATATTAAGTCATATTTCATACCTTCACATACTCCAAAGCTGGATCCATAGCATTCTGGTCTCTGAAAAGAAATAGCAGTATGTTAGCCAGTATGTATAATCATTTTGTGTCATTTAAAACAAAATCAGTTTTATCTTGTTACTCCTCTTCTACTATCTCTTTTAAAGGAGAGTGATTTAAATCAGGGGAAACAGGGTGGAAAGACAGATTTACTCCTGGCCTTTTTTCTAGCATCAGAAACCCAACACAACATCTGTCTGCCTCTTTGATCTCGAACAGCTACTGATTTGATTTGATTTCCAGTTTGCATCTAGAACAGGTTCTAGACTGAATTCACACCTCATATGAAACCATAATGCAGTTTCCTGTGCAGCTCTTACCATAATGGTTTATAAACATGATCCATGCCTTAACATTATTATTCCCCATTGAATAAATATGATAAAATAAATCATGTTTATTATAAGATCCAATCCCAGCCTTGTGTCACGGCAATATTTAGAGATATACAGTAATTAATCAGAATGTGGACAATATTTAGCACTGGATCTTTTCCAGCCATTCAGCAAACATGGGATGAGCTATCAAGCCAGCAAAAAATTAGTATTATAAAAAAATTAAACTCACAATGGACTACCTAACCATAGCAATGGCACAATTTATAAAATGCTAGTAGTTTCTAATAATTAATAAAGTAATTATAAGTATGGATGTATGGGAAATAATAAGATTGGAAACGATTTAGACTACAGTCATTTATACACCCCTGAGAATTTAGTGCAATTTTTTTTAACCCCAATATAAAGAAAGTTCCAGTAATCTTGAAAATATCCTTTGTAACTAAAAACCTATACCTTTCTCTGAAATGTCTATTGTTCAATATTCTCAATCTGGAGTTTCAAAATGGTCAGCAAAAATCTGAAAATCTGATTTCAAAGTAAACCTGATTTCAAAGTATCATTCTAATAGAAATCTGAATCTTTCTAAAATCATGGGTTAGCCTTCTGTATAACACTGTAATGATAATAAGGCATAGAGCAGGGATTTTCAAACTTGACTCTTTTATGATTTGTGGACTTCAACTCCCAGAATTCCTCAGCCAGTGCCTTGCTGAGGAATTCTGGGAGTTGAAGTCCATAAGTCATCAAAGGGCCAAGTTTGAAGAGCCCTGGCATAGAGTCATATTAAGTATTTTTAAATTAGTTGGTTGAAACAAAGGAATATTTGAGGTTAAGGAAGAATGGAATGTTGTGTGGCTGAACGGAATCTCCGTCCTGGCTGTGAAAACTAATTTCTGGGTTGTGCACCAATTTAAAGGGCTTCCTTTGGACAAGGTGAATTGTAAGGTGACCAACTTTTTTACAATGGGGAGGATACAAATAAATTGAAGAAAAAAAGTGAGTCTAATGCGTGCGTGTGTGCCATGTCGTGTTTCAATAAGAAATAAAGCCACTTGTGTGCAGCATACTCTTGCGTGCAGCGCACTCTCTCAAAACAATTCCCCTGTGCAGAGTGCATGCGTCTCATAATCGCGTCTCGCCACACTGTACCGAGCCTTGACGAATCGTCTTATCAAATACAAATACGTCACATCACACACAACGGATCGGCATTGATCGAATACGGAGATTTACAGATTAGTCTTCAAATATCGAAAAGGAGGACATGTAGGAGGACACTTTTCGAGAGAGGACAGAACTTACAAAAGAAGGACTGTCCTCCCTAAAGGAGGACGGTTGGTCACCTTAGAATTGTCAATGAGAAAGGGAGGGGTGTACCGTATATTGCCCCAGTTGCTCCTGATTCTCTTTTAAATAGCTAGTGTTTTCAGTGTATTCAGATCTAAGGATATAATAAATGTTTATGTCTTTGGTATTTGTTAATATGTTCCTGCTTGTGGGAGGGGTTAAAATCAAAGAAAGGGGTTTGCTTGATTTAGGTGTTTAAAAAGAAGTCTATTTTTTTTCTCCTAATAAGAGTCTCATAAATCCTGCCTTTTTTGTGGGTTTTTTTGGAGTGGTGGGGGGTGGTGAATGTCATTTTGGAGCTTATTCTGACCTGTTAGGAGAAATTGCAGCAATGGTTCCTATTGCAGGCCTCCTATTCTACACATGTTCAGTTAGGTCTGGTTAAGGGTTATATATTCATGCTTGGTGAATCATTCTCCATGTAACCTTCAGTTAAGAGCTGTATTGTTAGAGGTTCTGACAAGCCAATGTCTTAAAAACCTGAAACCAGTAAGCAGATCTCTGAGCAATATTCAAACAATAACAAAACCCAGAAAACTCCCAGAAACATCTGCTCTAAAGGACTGTTATCTTCCTACAGGGTATTACTGAATACCATAAACATCCTATTCATTAAGAAAATATTTAAAAAACACAAAATTCCAGGTTTATAATATTAATAGTACATATCTGAAATGATAGGAAGTATTATTGGGTTTTGCAGGGGGAAAAAATAGTTTGCTTCACTGAGTAGACATATAGTATTTTCCATCATCATCCTTCCCAAATGTGAGTGAAAAGAAATTATTTCTATCCAAACCCCCCATCCCCCCCCAAAAATGATTAGAAGACAGCTTTTAAATGCACTTTTATTAATTGGAATGATGAATAAGAGAGGGGTTGAATCTTTAAAAAGACAGTGAAAACCGCTTTCATTTTCTAAGCAGTAATTTAAATAATACTGAATTCTTACAAAAATAAGCCTTTTGAAAGATATAGCATATGAAGGTAAATGAATTGAATTTTAATTGAGAATACACAATTACTCTGTAGTTTTAGAATAAAATAATAAATGAGCAGAAACGTACAGATGTAAAGGTGATACTATACTCAATTATATAGGGCAGTGATGGCGAACCTTTTAGAGACTGAGTGCCCCAAACCCAACCCCTGCCCCCGCTCTGCCTCCCGCCCTGCCTGCTCTAACCCTGCCCGCCCCCTGCTCCACCCGCCCACAGGGCCATTCACTACCTCAATGGCCTGCTATAGCAGATTGCCCAGGCAGCCCTGCAGCGCCATGGCAGCCACTCCCTACGCCCACACCTGGCAGCATCATTTGCACGCTATGGGGCGTGAGGGTGGAGTCTTGTGCCTGCTGCCCGGCTACGTCCCTGGCTGTGCTGCTCCGTGTAGGCCATGCCTGGGGGCAACTCTCCTCCAGGGGGACTGCTGGAGAGGAGGGGGCCGTGGGGGAGATGGGGCTGGGGTGACAGCGCGCGTGCCCACAGAGAGGACTCCGAGTGCCGCCTCTGGCACGCGTGCCATAGGTTCGCCACCACTGATATAGGGGTTCAAATTACTTTCCAGGTTTAATACTGTATTGAATAGAAGCTGATTTTCTTTTAAATGACTCTGAATAAAGCATCATTTAGATAACTCTAGAATAGCTTGTGGTTCCCCCCCCCAAACTTGAACAATATCTTGTAAATCAACTTTATTATACAGTAAATTAGACAAAAATTCACATATACTACAGCAGGGGTAGTCAACCTTGGCTCTTTTATGACTCGTGGACTTCAACTCCCAGAATTCCTGAGCCAGAGAGCCAAGGTTGACTACCCCCGTGCTACAGTAAGGGAAAAAAATCAGATATGAACTTTTTTCTCTTTTCCCCATGGTCTTTTAACTATAATAGATCCTAACTGTGAACTCCCATAATTTCTTACTGCTAGCCATGCCGATTAGAGTGGATGGCAGTTAAAATCTTTAAAAAGTCTGAAGAACACCATATTCTTTCTCCTACTGCTGCCCTTAGTGACTAACAAACATACATTATAAACCATAATAAATTTGTTAGTGTTTCATTACACCCGGTATCTGATGAAAAAGAATAGTCCTTATGAGTTTGTGCTGAATGCATGTATTGGTTTTTAGTATACATTGTTTTTGTTAACTGATTAATCTTGCTGTTCCACTGGAAAAAGCTTTTGGTGGTGCTGAATGACAAAGCACCATCGCAGCCACCCCACCACAGCAGCTTCAAAAAGGATATTTATTAAGTTAATCTTGTGCTAGCAATTCAATATCCAACTTCAGGAGACATTACTTTGGAACTAATCAGACTAGGAATCTTCTAACCTCTGTCTATTGTTGAAGTCAGATTGTTTTGAACTCTGTGAACTCTACAAACCTGAGGTCTAATTCATATGTTCACCAGATATGACAAAAATCACCCCTATCTTCAGCCATTAAAGCAGATAACACCTGGGTCACACACAGCACTGCTGGGAGAAAGAAAGAGAACAAAAGATGTAACCTTTAATTAAGCAGGCTACAAAACAATGGCTTAACCTGGATTTGAAACATGACAGTCACAATATCTGCACTCATCAAACCAGACTAAAGGGAGCTCAGCACAAGGAGACAGACTGTATCTCTCTATTAAAAGAAACTTCTAATAGTAGAGGTCCAGCTTGGTAAACTAAACAGTTCATTATCTATTTGAAATATTAACCAGCATAGTTCATATAATAATCATTATCCATTTTAATTGCATCTCCAAGATCCAAGTAGAGAACAACTTTTATTTTTTTAAAAATAGAACAGCTCTCAAGTCATTGGTTGAGTCTTTCCCAATCTAGCACATTCCAGTTGCAGGAAGTGGACAGTGAACCTGGGAAATGTGTTTCATGCACATCTAGAAGGCAAAACCAACCTCACAACCTACATACTTGTGTTGGACATCAGAAGGCAAAAGGGAGAGCTTTTTCATAAATGCCACCCTGTATGTGTTGTCATAATTTTTGATGCAGGCTTCATTTGGTGTGGACATCTACATCAATACCAATCAGAAAAATATAATGACTATTTGAGACATTCCAATTTCCTTTTTTCATTTACACACATATTTTTATGAACTTGGGAAAAAGTCATTTGAGGGGGGGGGAACCCTCACAAAGCTTATAATACAAGTTCTCTTGAGCTGATGGGCACCTTCAAAATTTTGAAATCAAGTTTCAAGTTCTCTGACTCAACGGCTATAGGTTTGCCGATATCCACAATCACCATCAGCATGATTAGTCAGAAAACACCAATTACTGTCTTCTTCTAACAC